TTCGGGTTTCGGGGTTGAGGGTTTAGGGGTTTAGGGCTTAGGATTTGGGGTTTGGGGTTTAGGGGTTGAGGGTTGAGGGTTTAGGGGTTAGGGTTTGGGGTTTGGGGTTTAGGGCTTAGGTTTTGGGGTGAGGCGTCTAGGGGTTTAGGGTTCTGGGGCCTGGGCTTTGGGATGCAGTAGCTCTGGCTCTCATGAAGTTCTGCAGGTTTGGAGGGCGCCCTAAACCCTAAACGGCTCTTGGTTTCTATGGGGGGGCCTTCGGTAGCTTTGCCTGTTGACTTTGGGGGTGTAGGCTCGGCTGTAGCACGAAAAAACCCTTGAGACCTTGAGGGTTTCTAGGCTTAGGGCTTGCAGCTGGGGGCCTTTCAGTGGTAAGGCCTTACGACCTACGGGTTTTAGGTGAATTTTCAAAGTTTGCATTAGAAGGCCCCCAGCCTTTTGCTTGAGATTTGGCTGTTTGTTGGCTTAGGGTTTGGGTTGGGGGGGTCCATCCGGGCTTGAGTGCATCAAGGGCTGAGAGCTTGTTTTTGTTTTTTTCCAGGGGGCCGTCGGTACCCCCTTGAACTGCTACATATACCGTCTAGAGCTTAAGGTTTCGGTGCTTCAAAGCCCTGAATCCTAAACACCCTGAACCTTGGTTGCAGGTTCTACCGGACGTCCAGGAACCTCGGAGGCTATGGCAATCGATCCGAGCCTCCTTTGCGACAGCAAGCAAGCTGTAGCGAGGTCCAGACTTGAGGGTTTGGGGCACAAGCTTTACAAAATCTTGAGCCAATCGTTTAGGGCCTTGGGGTGGTAGAGCAGAGCAAAATAAAGAGATGACGTGCCAGGAAGCCCCCGGGCATCTCATTTTGCAAGGGGGTACTTCTGCCAGGCCAAAACATCCCCAACCACTCAACTCCTCTTATCCACTCTCCGGGCCACAGAAGGTTTGTGTGAATGCTGATGTTGAAGTGGCCGGCTCCACCGGCATTCACCTGAGATTTGGGATAGAATCCTTAGAACCCAGCGCTATACTGTGCCTATCGGACCCGAATGTCTTGAAACCTGCAAGATGCCATTAACAAATATTAACAAGAAACAATGCCGTCTGAGGGCGTAAGATTTAGGGCTTAGGGTTTAGGTCCTGGTGTTATCTATCTCGGGCTTTCCAAAACTGCCGCTTGAACCGATTGAAAATTTTTTTTGCGAGGTGTACCACGGCATCAAAATCCGTGGGCTTAGGCTCACATGAGCCAGAAATTGGTGCCGAAGGGCATGGTGGCTCCGGTAAGAGTCTTGAGCCGTGGATTGGACTTTAGGGCATGGGGCTTCGGGTCATGCCGCTGAAAGACAACGAGAATCTGCAGGACATGTGTTCAGCATCTCGGGTTAGAGCTGCTCTGATTCCAGCACTGCATAAACTGAGCGGGGGCAGTATCTATCGCTCTGTTCGTGAAGAACATAAACCAATGGCCCAAATCTGCACACGTTCGGGTCGTGCTGCCACATGTAGCTCTATCAGCTCTACATCCTACTACTCACTAGAAACCGCAACACTTCGCAAAAGAAAAAGGTAGAATACCGAAAACTCCATCAAGACCCTGGTTTAGGGTTTAGCGTAACCCCAAACCCTTCAAACCCCTGAACTCTCGGCACCTGGAAGGCTTAAGGCTCTCTGTCTCGGGACGTAACACTTGAGCCCGAAGGGTTTCTTTGAGTCTTAAGACCTCCAGGGCTAGAACCTAAACACCCCAAACCCTAAACCCCAAATCTCAGACTTCCGAAGTTTAAGCCTAAACCCCAAACCTTAAATCCCAGACTTCCCAAGTTTAAGCCCCTTTTTACACCTGGACTACGCATATGCCAGGAACCAAGGCGCCGACTGTGCTGTGGACTCGTGCCACACGGCTACCACCCCTAAGCCCTAAACCCCAAACTATCACACGGCCCTAAGCCACCTGAAACCCTACACCTGAAACCCTCAATCGAAAAGCCAGCGCTCAGAGTGTATGTACCCTAAGAAACCTACATTTTTTGGTGTTTTTCATTGTTACCCTAAGGGTCCATGTACTCATATAGTGTATACATTGGCCCGAAAGTACGTATATAAAAGGGACTACTTCACAGCCAAAGTATATACTATTTGGGCACATGGGCCCATAGAGTTATGACTTCCGCAGGGAAGTCCCTAAAACGGTAGGTTGTGTGGGGGTTAAGGTCTAGGCTCTGGTTTTCGCCTGTTAACCCCTTGTCCCTAGTCCCCTTAAGCCATCTTGTCTGTAAAACACTAAACCCTAAACCCTAAACCCTACACCCCCTTAAACCCGAATATTCAGGGCACGAGGGTGGTAGGAGAGATCCTGTCGAAGGCGAAGTCAAGAATCACGATATCCTTGACACAGAACACGGCTTCGGCTCTAGGCCCTATGGGATGAAATTGACACAGATCACAAGAAGATCATGACACTTCGCAACTAACCCAGAGGGTCCATATACTGCCATTATGGCATTAAGGCTCCCAAAACCACAATAAGAATGGTCTTTTGGGACCTAATTCCACAATGGTAGTATACGCGGACCCTCTGGGTAAGGCTACACATGCGGTAACTATGGTTATAACAGGTTATAACTACTTGGAGGTTCATGGGTAGTTATAAGTAGGGTTATAAGTCCCCTAATATGAGTTATATCTATAATTACCCTACTTATCGCCCCCACTTATAACTACCCATGAACCTCCAAGTACGTGTAAGCCAAGGCAAGGTATTCAAACCCTACTTACCAGGTCCCCTGATCCCAAAAACAGGGCGAAGGCCCAGGGCGTGGGTTCCAGCTTCAGGTTTGGGTTTAGGTTTGGGTTTGGGGTTTACGGTTTGGGGATCAGGGTTAAGGGGTTTGGGGTTTAGGATTTGGGGTTAGGGGTTTAGGGCTTTAGGGTTTAGGGTTTTTAGGGCTTAGGGTTTAGGGTTATAGGGTTTAGGGTTTGGGGATTGTGGTTTAAGGTTGCGGGTTTCAGGATAAGGGTGTCGGGTGTGGGTGAAG